ATTCTTGTTGTTACTTTGATCACTTTTATGTCTAACTCTTTGAAATACCTGTGAAACTGTACCTGATCTGGTGGACAGTACCCTATTTCTCAAAGGCCTAAGTCTGTGAATTTTTTGCTGAGAAGTGGCGACTATCAGCCAATGCCTCCTGGCCAGGTCCCTCGCAAAGCTGAATGGCCCTCTTCATGCTGTGGATTCTGCAGTTGGCTTTGTGACTGGGGAGCCCAAGAGAATGAGTTGCAGGTGTGTCGATTAACAGCACTTTCTCCCTGGGGTGCTCTCAGAAAAATGATGGAGGAAGCCACGTCGATAACAGATAATAGACTCACTCTTCATTGCTAATGGGAAAAACATCACAGACGCTAACGGCAAAAACAGCCACATTCACTGCATCAGCGCCTCCCAAATAAGATGTGGAAACACCTTCCAGCTCCTACAGTAGCAGCGGAGGCCAAATTCTCTTTACAGCCCAGAGTATTTTCCTTCCTGAGTCATACCTCAAGGCTGCTCCTAAAATCAGATTCCAGACCCAGCCTACCCTATCTCCATCACCTCTACTCTTACTTCTGTCATCGTCATCACCCAGCATTTTTGCTTTGAGCTCTAACAAATAGGTAGAATTGAAAGAGACATTACCTAATGTTTCAAAGGAGTATATATCTATCAAAAATGGACACAGCAGGCGCCTCCTACAAGCACTGAGCCAGTATCATGCAGCGGTCTCCAGCCTTTCTGGCACCAGGGATTGGTTTTGTGAAAGACAATTTTTCCACAAACCAAGTCCAGGGGATGATTTGGGCATGATTCAAGCACATTACATTTATTGTGCACTTCATTTCTATTATTACTGCATCAGCTCCACCTCAGATCATTAGGCGTTAAATCCGAGATGCTGGGGACCCCTGATTTATAGCAATCCAGAGAGCAGAGGGAAATGAGTGCTGTCGTAGACATTCTTGACTTCATAGGTAGACTATATACATTTTTCCAGTGTATTTTTGTATCACATGAGTAGCACCTTCTTTTAAGTTCTGATGTATTGATTGTTGGTGACTAATAGTGAAGAATAAGGAGCATGGAGGAATTCCCTTTAACTAAAGATGGTGCCCCTTGTTTTGAACATGTAGGGTCTCAGATCAGTTCAGTCATTCAGTCGTGTCTGACTCTTTGTGACCCCATGAACTTCAGCACACCAAGGTTCCCTGTCCATCACCAACTCCCGTAGCTTGCTCAAAGTCATGTCAGTTGAGTCAGTGATGCCATTCAACCATCTCATCCTCTGTCATTCCCTTCTCCTCCCACCTTCAATCTTTCCCATCATCAGGATCTTTTCCAGTGAGTCAATTCTTCACATCACATGACCAAAGTATTAGAGTTTCAGCTTCAGCATCAGTCCTTTCAATGAATATTCAGGACTGATTTCCTTTAGGATGGACTGGTTGGATCTCCTTGCAGTCCAAGGGACTCTCAAGAGTCTTCTCCAACACCGCAGTTCAAAAGCATCAATTCTTTGCCTCTCAGCTTTCTTTATAGTCCAGTTCTCACATCCATACATGATTACTGGAAAAACCATAGCTTTGACTAGACAGACCTTTGTTGGCAACGTAATGTCTCTGCTTTTTAATATGCTGTCTAGGTTGGTCATAGTTCTTCTTCCAAGGAGCAAGCGTCTTTTAATTTCATGGCTGCAGTCACCATCTACAGTGATTTTGGAGCCTCCCAAAATAAAGTCTGTCACTGTTTCCATTGTTTCCCCATCTATTTGCCATGAAGTGGTGGGACCAGATGCCATGATCTTAGTTTTCTGAATGTTGAGTTTTAAGCCAACTTTTTCACTCTCCTCTTTCACTTTCATCAAGAGGCTCTTTAGTTCTTCTTCGCTTTCTGTCATAAGTGTGGTGTCATCTGCGTATCTGAGGTTATTGATATTTGTCCCATCAATCTTGATTCCAGCTTGTGCTTCATCCAGCCCAGCATTTCTCATGATGTACTCTGCATATAAGTTAAGTAAGCAGAGTGACGATATACAGCCTTGATGTACTCCTTTCCCGATTTGGAACCAATCTGTTGTTCTATGTCCAGTTCTAACTGTTGCTTCTTGACCTGCATGCATATTTCTCAGGAGTCAGGTAAGGTGGTCTGGTATTCCCATCTCTTTAAGAATTTTCCAGCTTATTGTGATCCACACAGTCAAAGGCTCATGTGAAATAGAATGTGTATTTAATAAAACGGCCTGGATGACCATTTGTTTTGTCAGGAAGAGATGTGAGGTTTCAGAAAAGGTTCTTGGAAGTCTGACTGTCACCCACTCACGTGTTAAAGAACTGTTCCCTTCATCTAATATGGCTCAAGACTCTTCCCTCTCCCCTTCTTGAGGCCCAGAGAAGAAGCAAAGGCCTGTTGTGTCGAGGGCTTGGTCAGAAGCCCCCTGAGAGTAGAGCTTTGAATTTCCTACCCGCCAGCGACAGGGACACCTCTGGCGGAGTTACTGTCTCCTTGAAGCAGCTCTCCTGCTGTGTCACGGGGATTGTGCGCACATGGTTGAGATGGGCTCTGTTTATTATATTTTTCTCAGGGAAGTGGAACTTAACGTCCCTAAAAAACCCACTCCACTCCAGGGACATCAGGAGCAGGGCACTCAGGGGGCAGGAAGTGACTGGGAGTCACACAGACTTTGAATCCTAACTTTGCCAGTTAATGGCTGTTTGGCTTTTTCAGATCTCTCTCTCCCCCTTCCTCTCTCTCTCTCTGTTTCATGACAAAAGAGTTATAATACTAGACTATCTGTATTGTTATAAATATTGTTGTTGTTCAGTCGCTCAGTCATGTCTGACTCTTTGCGACCCCATGGACTGCAGCATGCCAGGCCTCCCTGTCCATCACCAACTCCCGGAGTTTACCCAAACTCATGTCCATTGAGTCGGTGATGCCATCCAACCATCTCATCCTCTGTCTTTCCCTTCTCTTCCTGCCTTCAATCTTTCCCAGCATCAGGGTCTTTTCTAATGTAAGGCCCTGATTCTGAAAAATATATGTAATTTCTAATATAAATATTAGCTCCCATTTATTGAGCACTTAGATTGTGCCAGGTCCCTAGCCAGACAACTGTCATAAATGATGTGACTTAATTCTTACCATAATATATGAATGAGGTAGAAATTATTGTCTCTACATTAAAGGTGAGGAAACTTTGGCAGTGTTTTGCCCTGGGTCACATAGCTAGTGAGTGGCTGGCATCAGGCTTCAATTCCAGGTCTATCAGACTCCAGATTCTGTGATAATGTGAAATTAAAGCAGTGCCTAGTGCAGAGTGGGTGCTTAACAAAGGCTGGTTCTCTTTCCTTCCATGAGAATCCTTTGGCTGTGGTAGAGCTTGATTTCTGTGTTAGATTTCTTTATACGTGCATGCTTAGTCACTCAGTCATGTCCAGCTCGGCAACCTATTGTTCTGTAGCCTGGCAGGCCCTTCTGTCCGTGGGATTTTTCAGACAAGAATCCTGGAGTGGCTTGCCATTTCCTTCTCCAAGATTTCTTCATATATTTGTTCTATAGAACAGATCTGTCATATTGCCCGTGCCACCGCCCGCCCCCCCCCCCCCGGCCCCGTGGTTCATTTGGACATAGTGGCTTTTAGGAAAACAGTTAATTGGGGTATAATATACATGCAAATATATGGGCTTCCCCAGTGGCTCAGATGGTTAAAGAATGTGAGAGACCCAGGTTTGATCCCTGGGTTGGGAAGATCCCCTGGAGGAGGGTATGGCAACCCTCTTCAGTATTCTGTCTTGGGGAATTCCATGGTCAGAGAAGCCTGGCGGGCTACCATCCATGGAATCACAAAGTAAGACATGACTGAGCAACTTTCACTTCACTTCACTTTTACATGTAAATAAGTGTTATTTAAAATGTCTCTGAAATCACCTAAGCGTGCAGGTACTTTGGGAGATAATATGATTCTACAACCTCAGTGTATAGAAATATGATGTTTATTTTCTACAGCCTAACTCAGTTTCTGAGTCTGAGCCCCACCCAACTGGTCAGATATTGAGGTCACCCTTGTAACTTCTCCGGCTCCCCCAGTGTCCTCCATTCCCTCAGTTGTCTTGGAAGAGAAACCTTCTTTTCCCTAGCACACATCTTACAATGCAGCTTTGTCCTGCCGTCTTGTCAAGAATTTTTCTTGCAATTATTTTTTCCTCCCAACTTTTCTATGTGCCGAGATATTTAGCCCACTGGCAAAGTTTTCAACTTTCACACTTAAGCAAGAGTTCAAATCGCCAGGGAGTCAAATGTTAATTCCATGACCAGTTTAAATGTTAGAAAAATTTTCCAGAAAGAAAATAAAAACGTTCACTCTCCCCACTCACTAGGAGCTTTAGGTTTCTAAGTGAAGCTTACTCAGAGGTGTCTTTTTGTGTATCAGGAGGTGCTTCCTGATGGTGGCTCAGACAAAAAAGAATCTGTCTGCAATGTGGGAGACCCGGTTCAATCCCTGGATCGGGAAGATTCCCCTGGAGGAGGGAGGTCATTCCAGTATTCTTGCCTTTAGAATTCCATGGACAGAGGAGCCTGGTGGCTACAATCCATGGGATCACAAAGAGTTGAACAGGACTGATCAACTAACACTTTGACTTGCCTTTTCTGCCTACCTGGGTTCAGCCTCTTGTGTTACACAAACGTGCACGCTTGCCTCTGAATCTTAATCAGTGCTCAGCAGAGCCCAAGCAGTTCCCCTCAGAGGCCTTCCTTGTTCTTCAGTGGCTTTCTCCATGGGGGATTTCGTGGTCTCCCATCAGACGTGTCCCGGGCTGCCCCGTGGTCGTGTCTGTCAGACGGAGGGTGGTGTTGGGCGCGAGGAGGGTCGTTGGTGCAGAAGACGGGAAAGAGGAATTCCCCTTTGCGTTCTGAAGCACCGTTTAATAACAGCACACATCCAAGTCTTTCTTCCACGTGTCTGGTCATTAAGCTTGTCCTCATGCCGCGACCTGACTGTGTTTCAGATAACGGCGGACAGACCTTGGCGGGGGGCAACAACTGGCCCCTTCGAGGAAGAAAGTGGAGCCTGTGGGAGGGAGGCGTGCGAGCGGTGGGCTTTGTGGCCAGCCCTTTGCTGAAGCGGAAGGGCGTGAAGACGCGGGAGCTCATCCACATTTCTGACTGGCTGCCCACCTTGGTGAAGCTGGCCGGGGGCAGGACAGCTGGCACCAAGCCTCTGGATGGCTTCGATGTGTGGACAACCATCAGGTACTGCCCCTCTTTCTCTTCCCCTCTGAGGTCGGAAGCTCCAGAAACATCTGGACTGGACTGAGAAGGATTGCTTTTATGTGAAAATGATAGTATAGCTTGCAAATAAAAGATTTTTTAAAAAAGAAATGCCTTTACAAATACATATATATACATATATATGTATAATATGAGGAACAAGATCGTCCTCAGTGGCTGACCCTCTACGAGAGGTCTTTGTAGAAGAAGCCATGCTAAGAAATTGGATAGGGTACTGTTTGCTTCCTGCAGAGGGTCAGAAGACCTGTTCTCTTGCCTGCGAGGAGAATGGAAGACCAAGGAAAGGAGGGAAGATCTGGAAATAGCCTCATCTTCTAAAGTTTAGATTTTACCCTTAGATATAAATGATTTGAAATTAAATATTTAATTGAGCTAGAGGATGACCATTTGAATTAATTTATTATTTTTCCTCTTGTTTTTTTGTTCAGAACCATTTTTCTCAGCTTGAAATGGGCCAAATATTTATCCATATTTTCTTCTAAGTGTTGTGGTCTGAGTTTCTTCCATGTAATTCTTGGACTATTGTGACATGATTTTATGTGTTCCATGAGGTCAATATCTAAATCAGAGGAATGGAGTTTTTTTCCCTCAGGTTTTTGAATCATAGACCTCTTTGAGACTCTGAAAACAGAGATTACAAAAAAATATGCCTAAGTATATGCACAAAAGCTTAGATAGAATTTATTTTTATGGTATTAGATACTGATTACATATTCTTTGCTGTGTACACATAGAAAATATAACATTCTTTGAAAGCCTCTGCCTCTCACTTATTTTTAATATAAAAATTAATACTCACTTTATGATAAAAAGGAAATAAAAATTTCCAAGCAAAACAAAACTTGAACTTCAGCTTACTGCCAGCTTTCACTGTGAAGGCTATCGGAGTTTGACTCATAGAAGCAGGAGAAAGTTTTGAATCATTTTGCTATGACAACATATGGGTCAGCCTTTATACCCAATCAGTTTTGATTTTTTTGTTTTGTTTTGTGGCTAAAATGTCATAAACCATGGCTTGTAAAAGCACGTAATAGCCAATGGAATCAAAGCTCTGTGGCATACTTGGCCAAATGAGGCTTGAGTTGAGAAACAGTTGAATTTATTTTGAGTGATTTCCTCTGTCCCAAGAGTCACAGAAGTTTTGATCTTTAGTAAAGTCCCAGTCATTGATATTCATCCATATCACCCAATTTTGGACTATCCATCCACATTTCACATTTCAGTGGAATTCCACATTTCAGTCTTAAGATTAGCTTGGTCAGAAGTAACTTTTAGGACTTTGGCATATGTTTGCTTCTGCTTGTAGAGGAACTGAAAGAAGTTTGGCCACCCTTAAATGCATATTTCAGAAGGTCTTTCCTCAGTATCAGAAGAGAACTTCTAGTGGCCCATCCTAAAGAGAACAAGAGCTCTGCACCCTCCAGCAACGGACGCAGTGTTGACTGCAGGGCTGTAACCAGAATGTTGTCGCCGACAGTATTGTCCCAGTGTGTGAAACCATGAGAGGGTGGTTTTCCTTTTCTATCTGGAAAAAAGTAAAATTTCTGCCCAGTATCTAATCAAGCATCTCAAGATTTTCCTCTGGAAATTCAGTAAGTGTCTGTTTCATAAGTGAAGAGCTGCTCTCATCCTGTTCCCATTTATGGATGAAAGAACCTGAAAAACAATGATTCAGCCCCCACAGTCCCGATAAAATGGATGCTTCTCACAACATTAGGCAAGCGTTTATTCAGTACCAGCGGTAGAGCATTTGGCACCCACGCCTGCCAAGGCAGAAAGCATCCAGTCTCACTGACGTCGGGAGCATCTCTTCCAAAGCAGTAAAAACAAATGGACAGCCAAATGTCAGAGACACTCAGTCTGTGCCCAGAGTTCTGGAACTTTTTTCAGTAAGATATTTACTTGGAAATACCATTTTCAAGATGATGATAGTTTTTGAAAATTTCAAAAGGATCTGATGAAAGAGGAATGCCAGTAATGGCAGTAACAGAGTCGGGTGTCTGAAAACATCCCGAGTTTCCCTAGTGCCATAATTATCAATTCCTCTCAAGCCTGCTTCAAAATACTAAATTTTAGAAGAAATTGCCGTTTTGGAGTGGGTGACATTCTTTGTAATAGGAGTTCCTTGACTTCTATTTTTCATCTGTTTCAAGATACAGTGCATGTTTGTCATTTGTAGGGGACATCACCTCTCCAAGTTCTTTCTGATTCTGTATGGTTTCTCTGCTTTTCATCTTAATAAGCCGTCTATAATTTGTTTCAAGTCCTTTCAAAGGATTTTTGAACTTATTTTATGTTTCATTAAACTTATATAAACATAAGCAGAGCCCCTAATCATAATGGAAGGAATGTTTTTCCTTTCTGATCAATGGGAAACTGATCTAGATGGTATATCTTTCCAACCCAGGTTCGATCCTGGGTTCAATCCCACACTGCAGGCGGATTCTTTACCATCGGAGCCACAAGGGAAGCCCTTTTATTATTATAAGGATGGTGACAATCAAATATTATCTGATAATGTGAAATATCTTAAAAACTTACTATGAAACTATAAAGACTTTCCCCACCTCATGGATTCAATTTTAAGAGAAATGTTGAAGGAAAGATAAGTCACTTTTCATCCCATTTTCACAGATACCATGAGGCCTAAAGCAGTTGTAATACTTTATGAGCCAAAGTTTAAGAACCCCTACTAAAATCATGCTTTATTTAAAACATTAAGACAACTCAGACTGATTTTTGAGTAGTTATTACTGAATAATAATTTCATTGTTATTATTATTGAATATTTCCTTTTTTACTGATTTGTAGTACCACTTTATGTTCTCATTAGTGCTATGATCTGTCTGGGTGCCATCTGTTTTAATCCACTGACTTATCTGTTCTTGTGTTAGCACCTGACTGTTGTAATCTGTAATCTGCTATTAATATAACTTCTAGGGTATATTTATATACCCCTCCCCATTATATTTCCTTTACAAAATTTCCTTGACAAGCCTCACGTTTCCCTGGTGGTCCAGTGGTTAAGACGCCACACTGCCAATGCAAGGGGCACAGGTTTGATCCCTGGTCAGTAAAGTAAGATCTCACGTGACCCGCGGCAAAATAATTTAAAAATAAATTGAGATGAGTCAAGGGCTCCTTAGGTACATGAATATATATCTCGTAGGGATTATTAAGTGGTGTTTTTAAAAGAAAAAGCAGGATTTTAAAATATATCTTATAATACAATGATGCATGAATGGGTAATGATTATGTAGTGTAAATTATATAACCTCAATCACAAAAAAAATAAATGAGATTAACCACAAAAATTAATTTGGGAAGAATGGAGGTATTTGTCTTCTCACCTAAATCTTCCCCCTGCTGATTAATGCTCATTTCTTTTTGTTTGTTTTTTTTTGTAATTATTTTTTCTCTATATATTCCCTTTTGGATAGATTCTGTTAGTATGCCTTCAAGTTTTGTTTTTTTTTTTCTTTATTCTTACTCTTCTTTTAAATTCATCCAATATATTTTTCTTTTTTGAAATTTTATTTTTAAATGTGATAAATACACATAACAAAATTTACTATCTTAACCATTTTTAAGTGTACAGTTCAGTAGTGTTACCTGTATTCACATTGTTATATAACTAATCTCCAGAAACTTTTCTATCTTGCCAAACTAAAACTATATATACATTAAACAACAATTTTCTACTTCCCCTTCTCCCCAGCCCCTGGCAGCCACCCTTCTACTTTCTGTCCCTATAAATCTGACTGCTGTAGATACTTCATACAGGTGAAATGCTACAGTATTCGTGGTCTTGTGACTGGCTTGTTTCCTTTAGTTCATTCATATAGCATGTGATTTTCCTTCCTTTTTAAAGGCTGATTAATATCCCACTGGTATATACCACATTTTGATTATCCATACATCCACTGTTGGGCACTTGTATTGTTTCCCCCTTTGGCTTTTGTGAATAATGCTGCTATGAGCATAGGTGTACAAATATCTCTTTGAGACCCTGCTCTCAATTCTTTGGGTTATACACATAGAAGTGAAATTGCTGCACCGTGTGATAATTCTATTTCTAATTTTTTGAACAACTACTGTACTGTTTTCCATAGTAGCAGTACCATTTTATATTCCCAACAGTGTACAAGAGTTCCAGTATCTCTTCATCCTCACCAGCACTGATTCTTTCCTTCCCTTAAAAAAAATTTTCTATGAGCCATTCTGATGGATGTGAAGTGATATCTAATTGTGATTTTGATTTGCATCTCCCTTGTATTTAATGATATTGAGTATCTTTCATGTGTTTGCAGATCATTTGTGTATCTTCTTTGGAGAAATATCTACTTGAGTCCTTCATCCGTTTTTAAATGAGATTTTTGTTGTTGTTACTATTGAGTTGTAGAAGTTCTTTATATATTCTGGATATTATTATATATCCTTGTTATATATATTGTTAGCAGATATTTTCTCCTATTCTATAGATTGCCTTTTCTTCCTAATGAATATGTCCTTGGATGTATGTCTTTTAAAGGAGTCATGAATTCTGCATATTTAAAATATCTGAATGCAAGTTATTAGCTTAGTATTTTTGAATCTTATATTAATCATCAATAATTTGCAATGAAAAATATTCAGAATTTATAATATCACTTATTTGTATTAAAATATAGCTGATTTACAATATTGTGTTAATTTCTGGTGTCAAAGTTATCTATACACATTTTTCAGATTATTTTCCATTATAGCTCCCATCATACAAGTTATTGACTATAGTTCCCTGTGCTCTGTGGTAAATCCTCATTGCTCACCTATTTTATGCACAGCAATTTTTATCTGTTAATCCTGTACTCCTAATATACCCTTCATCTCCTCCCTTTCCCTTTGGTCACCATAAATTTGTTTTCTATGTCTGTGAGTCTGCTTCTCTTTTGTATATGGATTCATTTGTATTATTTTTTAGA